ACTATGACGTCAAAGAGGATAAAACACCACCCCCGCAGATCAACGCCTACTTCAACATGGCCGGGCTAGCCCCGCCCACCGATTCGCGCATTACACGCATAGCTAAATAACATAGGCCTACCTCGTGATGACAAATCGGATCGAGCTACCAAGCAATACAAAATATTGTACAGCGCCTGGTTGTGAAAGAAGACAGTCGCTGCATAAGTTTCCTCTGGATTCCAATAGGACTGCATGGATAAACTTTATTTTTAATGACTTTCCAGCTGATGAGGGTAAAACATCGTCATCTGTTCGCTTCATTTCACTGAGGATTGTTTTGTAAACATGACTGGATTTGCAGACCGATTAAAAGAACGTAAAGAACGGTGCTGGTGTCTATATTGGATCTGACAGGAATTGTGCAACACGGACTCTAGGTCGAACATGTATGGACGAATCATTCCGGTTGCCATTTTACAACATTGGACGTTTTCAGAACAATTTCCCCCAAGTGCATCGACGAGTGAGTCGAAACTCATTATAATATGCAAAACTGTTATCCACTCACAGCAGTGGGCATTTACTTCCGTCTTCAATGCGAGACGCCCATAAAAACCGAGCGTTTTTCAGCTAGGCTCAAAACTAGGGTAGAAAATAGCCTTACTTATTCATTTTGATGTTTTTCAATGCAAAAGCCAAGCGAACGTCATAAGTTGACCTCAGACAACAATATAATAAAATTTAAAAAGCCAGTTCATGACCCCTTTAACGGCTCAGATCTAATTTCAAGACAGGGATTGAGACAAATTAATAGAAGATACCAGACACTTCTGCTTACTTTAAAGTTTACACGTCCCCTTTTTTCAGGGGTCGAAAGATTTACGAGCCTCCCAGGTACATGACTGTCGCTCAGGCAGCTGAGCAACTCCTGGAGATCCTACAGAACAGACGGGATGGTGGCGAGGAACTGGGTAAGAAACTCTTCCAAACCTTTCTAAATTGCTTGAAAACCTAAATGAACTCTGTGGTCGAACCATCTGGACGTCTGGCCAGCTTGAGATACTGGCAAGCATTGACGGAAAATTGAGTTAGGTTTGATTAAAAAGATGTTTTCATAGGTTTATCCCATGTTCTTTCTTTCAATGCAGCAATGACTGAAGACACAGTGTGTGTTGGTCTGGCTCGGGTCGGAGCTGAGGACCAGGCCATTCGTTCCGGGACGCTGCGTGAGTTGGCCTCCTGTGACCTGGGAGGACCACTTCACTCAATGATCATCAGTGGACACCTTCACCCTCTGGAGGTGGACATGCTGAAACTCTTCAGTGATCCCGAGGGATTGAAGACCTTGAAGATGACTGATAGTTCCACATACATTTCATGATATCCAAGAAGATTGTGCTCCTGAAGAGAAAGGTTCCCTTCCCAGGACAAGTGGACAGAAGTTGGTCCACATGAGAGATCAAATTTGACCTCTTTAACCTTTAAGCACCGGTCGGGCCAGAAGATTTAGATTGGGAGTGGGATGGTTATTTTGATGTGTGGCAGTCATGTTCATGCTGTCAAAAAAATAAATTATGGAATTATAATAGAGGAAATGGAAAAGGTTATTGTGGACCAACTGCATCTGGGTTGCATTAGTGCCTGTAAAATTGAGCTTTCTTCAAAATTGGCATCATGTTTCCACACCAAGAGCCTTTCTTTTGATGGAAATGTCTTAATAAGAATGTAAATAAGATAAAAGTGAATTCTGAGATTCTTTTGAGAATGTACCCACCCATGTCATAATGGATGGAGATCGATTTTTTCATGCAATAAAGACACTCATTTCGCTGCCACTGATTACATCAACGCCCAACATGTGGTTTGACTGTTTTCATCTACATCTGTGGTTTTGTTTGTGATCTCTCATTTCATTTCTGTCAGCATGACTTGCATAGAAAGTGAACCAAGCAATTGTCAAACAAACTTTCTGGTTTGTTTAATTAAAAGGGGTGGTTTACTGCTTTGTTTATGGGGTGAAATATAACATGTATTCGTGGTTTTTCTTTTTTAAAAGTCTTATTTTTCATAAATTTCACCTTTATTGTCAGCTGCGTTCTCCTCTGTCATATAAACGACCGGTTGACTTCCTGATTCTATGAAACCACTCCATCAGAAACAGGCAGTGGGCTCAGATTGGTTAGTTTGGGCCAGTGTGTTGTGATTGGCTAAACTGGAGTACACGTTGTCCGATCATAAAGGCTAGATATGTCGCCCACGCTGCTGGCCAATGGAGGTCGACGTCTGCACCTGGCGGCCATCTTGTCACAGGCAGCTCGCTCACTCGTAACATTGTGTTAATGGTACATGTACTATTTAAATGACCATAACTTGCTCAATTTTCTACCGATTTTCAAACGGTTTGTTATAAACGTCAGAGATGTAGTTATGATACTGCATACTTATGAATAAAAAGTGTAAAAATAAATAATCACCCAGATAATTATAGCCACGTTAACGTTTGTAAGAAACCAACCCGTTTGTAAATCCGTCAAGATTTCAACGAGATCACAGTATTTGTGTTCGTGCTGACCACTCATCTTTTCATCAGCTTGTCTGTGACAAGTTGGCCGCCGGTGATGACGATGGAAACTCCGCCGTAACACATCTAGCCTTTATATAACTACATATATGGTCCGGATACCAGTGTTGTAGTACTCGAGACTCGGACTCGCCTCGGACTCGGTCTCGAGACCATATTTTAATGGTCTTGGTCTTGTCATGGACTCGTGTCCATTTGGACTCGGAATTGACTCGTACTCGAACATTTTTTTTTTTAGGACTCGGAATTATTCCCGAGTCCACTCGAGTTCAATTAAAAATATTTTTCATGATTATTAATGTATGTTAATAAAATATTTCTTTAAATTGATTGACACGCCCAGTGATTGGCGATTTTCTAGTGCGCAACTGCGCATAACAAATTGTAATAAAATTACTTTTAACACCACCTACTATGTGGCCTTTTTACCCTAAACTGATCATATTTTTAAAACTCTAAGTAAATTCAGTAAAAAAAAAAAAAGGATTTCTCTAAGTAAATAAAAGTAAATTAGGTAATCAACCCTCACTGGTCTCGGACTCGACCGTCTCTGGTCTCGGACTCGACTCTCTATGGACTCGGTCTTGACTCGGACTCGACTCTCTCTGGTCTCGGTGTCGACTCGGACTCGAGTGAGGTGGTCTCGACTACAACACTGCCGGATACTTAACGCCTGTAGCGAGGGGGGGCGTGGTTCAGCGAAGTCTGTTGCGTGGAACGGAGCCGAGCGGTGAATAAGTGGGTCAAGTTCAAATGACAAACACCTATCTGTGATTTCAGTAATTGGCGTGAGAAGAGCGCACAACAGTTTGAGAGAGAGAGAGAAAGAGTCTCCTCTCCTTCATCACCCACACATAACGAACCTGTTCTTACAACGCCCATTACCTTTACGGGCGAAAGTTGTGTATTCCTGTCAAATGTACATAATGATGTCCATACTGCAGTAGGCTATCAGTTTGAGCCAGAATCAGACACAGAAAGCGACGACAAAGAGAGTCGAGCAGAACCTCACCACCACACACGGGTCTTACAAAACGTTTCTGAATGGTAATTTGCTTATATATTTTTTTAACTTTATAAACGTTTGTCTTACACAAAGTAACATCAAACTAACTGGCTACTAAACACAGCGTTGGCATTGGTTTACGTTCTTGATCAAATCGAAAAATAACGTCATAAAGTATACATTTATAAAATGAGTATATACAAATTCAGGTCCAAAATGTTTGTACGCGTTTGTCGTAGACACAAAATAGCATAACTACTATATAAAGCCAGCGCTGGCATTTTGACAAAACTAAAACATTACATCTGAAATTGTACATGCAAATACATTTAAAATGATTAAGTCTTAGCCTACTTACAGGTTGTGGCCCAACAACTGCTGCCTCTTGTTTAAAAGTCGGAACTGCTTCATGTTTTAGTAACAGTTTGTTGTTGAATCCCGGCATTGAACACGTGGAGATTCTGGAAACTGTCTTCCGTAAATGCGCGGTGCGAGCTAATTATGCTGCGTTCACGTGCTATTGATACCGGTTTTTATGTGATGGGCTTAGTTGTTTGAAGAAACGTTTTCTAACTATCATTTTATTATTTTTAAGAATTTGCATCGTCATGGTGTAGGCCAGTTTTGTCATGGTTTTATTTTATTTTTTCAGAACAGTTTTGTATTTCCAGTTAACATTATTTTAAGAAATAACTGGTTGAAACTGGTTCTGTGATAACACACTCAAGAATATCCTTTGCGTTTCTCAAAGAAACATGGTTTATTCTTACAAAGGAGAAGTGAAATTTCAGTGTGAAATTGTATTTATACCCTTTCAGTAGTAGGGTTGAAAACACTGCATTAAACCCATTGTTAAACAATATTATGGCTCATGAATATTTTACCTAACATTAAAGCAATTAAGATCAAATCTGACAAGTTGGTGCAATTTGGATAAGTCTGTAAACATAAGGTTTAACAATTGGTTTGACACTGATATTGTCCTGAAAAATACATAATTGGACCATTCAAAAGCAATCAAACATTTTCATTTGACCTTTCTTCGAACTATTGCAGAACAAAATATTTTTTTTGTTTTGCTTATTTATATAATTACAGCTGAAAACAAGGTAAAAGGTTTATATTGAGAAAATCACTGAAGGAAATCAAGCCATTTCAAACTGAAAAGGTCTGCGTCTAGACAGGACTAACCAATCTTGATTAACTGTTTCCACCTATTACTTGAAAGGAAACAAACAGTAATAGCCTCTGACATTTTACTGCAAATATGTTGAAGTTGGCTTCTTTGTGCATTAAAAATAAAAGTGAAATAGGAGTTAACGATTTCCATTTAAACCATGCATCAGATTTATGTTTGAAAACAGCTGCTTCCTTGTCGTTCTGTTGATATGAGGTTTTAGAGACTTGTTCCACCATGCATTAACCAGAAAAGCCAAATGCAAAGGAATATTTTAATTGTAGACAACTCAAATTCATAAAGATCCAGTTTTCATCGCATTCATGTTGACCATCAAATCCGGTCCAAGCGATTGTCCATGATCGTTTTTAGAAAGGCACTTAAGAAATGCAGGCAAATCTGTTTATCTTTACATAATGGCATCAGCAAACAAATTCTGCATCTCTTTACAACTGTGCAACTGAAACACAAAGCAGGCGATGTACAAAAAGAGTCAATGAATCACATACTGCTATTTTGTTTTTTTTTTGTTTTTTTACAAATGTCCACTGAACTCCACATTCATACCACCAATAATTAAAACCCCATTCTGATCATGGAAAATGGCGACAATTATGAGGAATAGAAACAGTTTGGTGGGATCATAATAGTAAAAAGCAATGGGGAACTTCAAAAACAAACTTCAAATGACCAAGAGGGTGCAAAAATGTTGCAAGTTCTTTCTTCCCTCCAAAACATCAGATTGATGTTGCTGGTCAGATGTCGTTTTCTGGCAAGAGTGGAGTCAGACTGCTGGACTGCACCAGCTCCATCTTGATCCAAGATGGAGGTGGAGCGACAGAAACCCAAAGAGATGGGTTGAGGTGGAGAACTTCCCCACAGCAGCACAGAAGGTCTTTGGTCCAGGGACTCCCAAAGATCAGGAGGAATTTGGCAGACTCCTACATGGCAGCCACCTCAATCTGAACATACAGTTGTCTGACGCCAACCTGGGCACAGGGCGGAAAAGATCATATAATGGAAACTTTGAAACGACCTTTAATGGACGAGATGACTATGTTAAAGCTGTATTTCCCAACAGTCCCCACCTGTGTGAAAATGTTGTGCGTTTGGCTGAGGAGCCATCTAGAATCTGCATCGGGCGCCACAAGGAGTTTGAGTGTACCGATGTAGACGTCTGTGCAAAGGGTCCAGAAGTGAGGTTCTTGAAGGTTATAGACCCCCTGAAGCTGCTGGACCTGCAAAGAACCAACATGGCATCATGACTTTTGTGTAAACATACACGGCACTTTCAAGTCAAGTGGCGTGTTATCTATACGCATTTTGAGCTATCCGCGTGCATGTCTACGCCATTAAATGTCCGAGTGATTCCACGTGTATGTCTACGCCGCTAAATTTCCGAGCGAAACGAAGCAAAATGTAGATCTACATCTGGGGAGCGATATTTTATTTTGTAATGTTAAGTCAACGGCATTCATAAACACGCCGAAAAGCGATTATGCGTATTGATAGCACACCAAAAATGGAAATACGAATTGGCGTGTCATACATACGCCATTTCATGAGATCAGTCTGAAAGAACGTTACTGGGGTGTGTTTCCCGAAAGCATCGTTAGCCAACTATGGTCGCAAGTTCCGTCGTTATCAGCATAGTTTAACGAGTCGGTGTTTCCCGAAACAATCGTTCTAACGAACATTCGCAAACAGCATCGCAAAGTTGTGTGGTTTGAACGACAGCTCTCGACGTAATTAATCCTTATCTTGAACAAAATAAGCAAGCTGACATTCAGTACAACCGGTGCCTTTTATTTAGAATACATACAAATGTAATTTACGTCTTTTAGGTTGTCAAAAGATTTTAAGTAACGTGTTTGAAGAGTGCGCATGTGCGAACGTGCTCTACTATGTAAGAACGGGCCAAATATTGAGTCTGGTAATAAAGCAAAACAACTGAGAACAATTTGAAATAGTCCTCAGATGACATGTTTGTAAATTATAGTAAAAAATCTATCGTTAATTGGATCATTAAAAATAGTTATTACTCCACTACGTGCGAAACCAACGTGGTTGAACGATACTTTGCGAAAATGGGTTTCGGGAAACAGTCGTGACTAGCTAGTTGATTTCTCCAACAATGCATAGTACTATGGTAGTGATGCAGCGAACTACGCCGTTGTACGGGAAACGCACCCCTGGTTAGCAAATGCAACCTTGCAACGGGACAAATTGAGGAGGTTCTGGTGGTCATTAAGGCCACATTTGTTGGTTATCTGGAAATGTTTAAGGACAACCCACCATTTTGCAGCGGGATAAACTTTAAAGATCAGACCCTCAATAAGGTGTCAAGTTCCTGAATCTTCAAATGTGCCTACTTGGTTAGCTAGTTAATTTTTGGGACAACTTGGCTACTATCCCAGTTCATATCATATTATCCTGAAACTCTCTCTAACCAAGTAGCCAAATATGAAGAACAGGATCCAGGAGATGGAAGGTGACTCACCCTTTGGTAGCATTCAGGAAGGGCTTGGTCCAGAGAATGAGGCGTCCGTTGCATCAAGATCCCAATGGACTCCCTGAGCAGAGGAACCACACTGTGGGAAAGAGGAAAGTGAGAAATAAGTCGCCGTTCTATCAGAAATTAACTCAATGGGGCGCCAAGTACAAGGCAAACTCGGGCAACGGGAAGGGGCGCCACACATAAAGACGTCATTGGGGCTTGACGCATCTTGTTATAAAACTAGGGGAAAGGAAATTCTGTCCTAATCCTAATGAAAAGAGTTCTTGTTTGTCATGATTTTTTCAGGGCATGCTAAACATGGTCCAACATAAACTTGCCCATCTTATAGTTGGGGTGGAGTAGCAGAGAGTTGTGCTGATGTCATTCCAACAGCTGTAGTGCGTGTGAGCCAGCAAGCAACCCTGAGCACACTAGGATAGACATCCAAACCCATTCATTCTGCAGAAGAATCACTTGGCAGAAACGGTTGACTGGTTAGGTAAGGACTAAGACTATTTCTCTCCTAACCAGTCAGCCGTTTCTGCCCCATCAAAGCTAGGTCTTGGCTAGGCCAGCATCTTATAAAGTCATCAGTCCTCTTTCAAACCTTCAAGGCCTGACCACTGCTCCATCTGGGAACCATTAGAGGGTTCCTTGGTTTGGACTCCTTTACCGGTCCCTAATCTACTCTATCAAGCCCACATTCTCCTGAACTCGTCCCTGAAACCCCAGCCTCAGTTTGGGACACGCCAAAGTGGAGAAGCTGATCGTTGTCTCTTTTAGACCTTCACAACACTGAAACACAAATGTGGCAATCAACAAAGAAGCATTTCACATTTGACCTTCCTAAAAAAAAAAAAAAGTCAAAACAGCAACAATGTCAGCCTTCAAAATATTTTGCCCCAACATTGTTTAGATAAATGACTACAAACTGCAATCATATTACTCACAAGGCTTCGATTCCACAATAGTCATGTTTTGAGTGTTCCTGTCAGGTGCTACAGACTTTCACTGCCCTACTTTGAGAGCACAGATGACGAGTAATAATAGCACTCCACTCCAGACCAATCTATAGCTTTACTGACTACTCAGCACTCTTTGTGGTCAAGTAACATTAGGTAATGCGTTAAATGCACTTGTTAAATTGCAACGCATGCAAACATTTTTGTTAATACTTCACTTAAAATGACTGTGGTTTACCAAGCAACCAAACAAACTGGTAATCTATATAAAAGCCATTTAGGAACATGACACCAGAGCCTGATTGGTCCGTCTCGTCCAAAGGACACCTGGAAAGTAAAATGAATCAAGTCTACTAGCAGAATGACCGCATTATATATATATATATATATATATAATTTTAAAATATTAAATACTGTATGCAATTTTATATATTACTATTCCAATTCTATTTTATTAAAATTGTATATATATACTAATTTTATTGGGTATAAACCAATATATAATATATATGGATATATACCAAAATTGGATATATACCAATTTAATATACCAATTTTATTCCAATACTATTCAATCTATTCCAATACTACAATTCAATTTTATATACTACTATTATATATATGTAATTTTATATATATATATATATATATAGATATTATTTTAAAATGTTATATATGCAATTTTATATACTACTATTCCATGTAGACTCTTTATTAAAATTAGATTATAAAAGTTGCATTCATTAATAAGGAAGAATTAAGACTCAAATGCTATTTAAAATAGTGTTATATGTAGTATAGCATGTCACATTACAGAACACCTTCCTATGTGACAAGTCATTAGAAAACTGGCCAATGTGCATTCCTCTCAGTAACTGGTCTGTTTGTCCCTCTTTTAGAAAATAAAATGAAAACAGGAAAGTACTGGATGAGGGTACCTTAGACCTCTGACATCATACTATTGTTCCACACCTTCCTGTTCATTGAAACAGAGGCACTCACCGTTCACTGGTGCTTGATCGCTAACCTGTCCAAAAAACCCTGTGATGCACTTACATTAATGACTCAGCCGTCCAAAATACAATTACGTGCGAATGTCAAGGGTAAGCTGCCCAGTGACAGACAAAATGTCACCACCTAGGTCAGGGCGACTATCAGGATACATTATTTCTGCACGGACGAATGTCGAACAAACCTTTTGGAAACCAGCTTGGAGTCACAGTAATACACAAGCACTTCTAAACCGCACAGAAATTATTGGTTATCACGCTCAGACAACCCGAGTCCCTAATTGGAGCGCAGAAGCATTTATGACACCAGACCACCGCAGGAATGATGTGACCTTCGTGAAGTCTGCGTCTGAATCAGCACTGTGGGAATTAAAGCAGGTACTTTAAACTTGACATTTATATGGAAAAGGAAACAAACTTTTCCATTTCTAGGGCAAGAAGTGCTTGGGATTCTACCACAAAAAGCTTAAGATGCTTTACTGCAAGGAACCTGCACTCAAGTTATGCTCAAATAGCTATTAAGCCTTGAACATAAAAATGTATGTCTAGATTCAAGGGCATATTTTTGTAGTACGAGTGTCTACAGACATTTGAACATCTGACCAGTTCTGCCAATACTTCACTATAAATGATTAATAATACAAAAAAATTCTCTCTTGCCACAAAGTGTATTTGTAAAAAGGGTTCCAATCTGAATATACGAGACACTTTAAGAAAACCTGGATGAATCGTCTGTCATTTCACCTTAAGACTAATTAAAATTAAATATTTTATTTTTAAAATACAAAAAAAAAAAACATATTTAGAGACTACAATTTATTTTTTTCACTAAATAAGTCATTATATATTAGATTAATACATTTTATATATTAATAATATTATCTAGCCTAATAAATATATTAATATGCATACACTATAGAGCTGTGAAACGATTAATCATGATTAATCGCATCCGAAATAAAAGTTTCTGTTTACATAATACATGTGTGTGTAGTGTGTATAATTATTTTGTATATGTAAATACACACACGTATATATTTAAAAAATATTTGCATGTATATACAAAATTAATATTATACATAAATATAAATATTTGATATATTAATAACCCATTTTTCTTAAATTTATACATGCATATGTGTGCATTTACATATATAAAATAATTAAACACACTACACACATATATTATGTAAACAAACTTTTATTTTGGATGCGATTAATTGCGATTAATTGTTTCACAGCCCTAATACACTACATATTTAAATTATTACTGCATAACATTTCTTCATTAAAGTATATATAAACCATGCATTTTATTTTTGTATGTATTTTAATGAAATGTTATCCAAAAAATAATCAAATTATGTATATGTGGCTTGTTCCCCACCAATTAAACACCATGAATTAGAATTCAGAAAAAAAAAGTACAGTGTAAAGTAGCTAGTTTTGCAGCCAGCACACGGTGCTAAAGCAAATTATGTGAATTAACAAAGTAAATCAAAGAAAAAACACTGTAACATGAAACAAAAGCAGCTTTGGGGAGAATCAATCCTCAAAGGCCCAGCTTAGTACACCCAGAACAAATGTTAATTACTGTTAACGTTCCTTGTGCGCCCATTCCTTGCGGCCCAAAGCGATTAGCGGTCTTTGGAAGACTTTGGTGGTGGGGGACTGCTGTAGGTCACAGCAGCAGGACTCCTCCACTCCCTCTTACTAATCACAGGGTACCAAGACAGCTCCCCAGATATCCCCCTAAAGCAAGGCTACCGCACCCAGAGCGGCCTTAGCTAAACACACCCCTGTTCGCGTACAGCGGGGGGTCTTTCGCAGAGAGTGCCACGGACATGGGTCATCAGCCGCACCTCAGGTGCGGCTGATGAAGGAGAAGTCCATCACCCTTATGACAGGTCAAACATCTGAATGTGAGCAAGATGGCTGGATCAAAATAAGGCACTCTACTGAGAATATTAATCTCACAATGTGGGGTGCATGGGAAAAACGCTGTCCAAGCAAAGCAAAGTCCATCTTAACGATCAAACGAAGAACCACAGACATTCCACGTGGCCAATTATGGTTTATCTCTCTCAAGACTCGAACAATAAATGGTTCTGCTGCGCCAGACGTACACAGACATGAAGTTCAAACGCATAAGAGAGTCTAGAGTTGCAGATGAACGCATTGCTTTGGTCCACATCTTTCATACTGGTATCATGTGTTTAATAAATCTATATACGCAACAGGCAGGTTTCCCCAAACACATTAAGCCTAGTTCTGGATAACGCATCACTTTTCTTGGGCTGTTTTCAGAATAGCACACTAGAATACTACTATTTCTGACCTTTTACATTTGGAAAAATGGGTGTTTTATCCAAGCGTCAACATTCTAATCTGAAAAATGAAGCCTACCCGAAGTGCGAAAAACTGCAATACAACAAAAATTCGCTAGAGGGAGGTCCCAATAGGGAGCAAATGTCCATAGACCTCATGTTAAAATGTCCGTTTTCACAGCATAAATTCATGCTTTTACAGGTTGGTCCCATGGACTTTTATTGTATTTTCGATAGGTTCTGAGTACCTGACAATTGTGAGGGGGGTGAATTTTTTTCTACCTCGTTAGTTTAGATCATATTTAGATATAAAATGAAAGACAAATAAGGGCGATTAACTTTGATTGACAGCTGATAACGGGCTGCGCCGAGTGGAGTTTGACATCTCGGCCATGATCTGAGAACACATCATACCACCTCTGTAGCCTTTCTGAACATTTGTATTTTGTATTTCCCAAGATTTTCCAGTATGGAGCCTCAAAACTGTCTATGGGTGACGTCACAGATGCTTTGTCCATATTTTTTACAGTCTATGGTTTTATGGAACACATACAAATGGAACACAACATAAAATACTTTGAAAAAAAGTCAATGGGGTCCAAAATTGTTTTGGTCCCCACTGACATTCATTTTATGGACGAAAACAAGCACACTATCCCATAATGCAGTGTTGTTTGACATGGCCTTCCAATCAGAAGTTAACTTCTTTTAACTCATTCTTTGACCAATTTTTACTTAAAATTTAATTAAAAATACAAAAAAAGTTTTAATTTGGGTCATGTGATTTAGAATGTTGTTTGGAATGCTTAATCATTCCATAATGAAGCAATTTGACATACTGTTCCACAAAATATTTTTAAAGTGTAGCAGACTCTATACAGCATTTTTTTTAATCAAAAGTAGCCATGTTTCTATTACCCTTCAAATTGCGCAAATTGAAATACGCTCAATGGAAACACGTCAATTTCGCAAAAACTCCCGTTTATCCCAAAAAAGTTTTTACGCTCGCATGACGAGGTTTTTCAGGCAGTTCGAAAAAGGAATATTTTGCAAAACTGCAATGGAAACGGGTTTTGCGCATTTACAGGTCACCTGACTTAGAAGACGCGGTGTGTTTTGGGTCCGTGTCCGCAAATAATAATAATAATAATTATCATCATTATTATAATATTTATTAGGCTACATATGTAGAAGACGCTTTTATCCATTAAAGAAACAAAGCAATTTATCACATTTCGTGCCTAGTCTCAGAAGAGCAGGAGAGACTTCTTACCAACCCCATAAAAAATAAAAAATCTCCAACCCCAAAACATTTGAACAGTACTTATACTGCCCAATATGCTAGAATTCAACTATGAACACAGCCAGGCACAAATGTTTTCTTAATCTGAGGTCTGAGAAAACCAAAACAAACTGTGTTATCAAAATCTTTTAGCGTCAAAAGACAATGTCTACATATGGACCACAGGAACGAGACGTCTAGAGCTTCATGAGAAGGAGGCTAAGCTCTGTTCTAATTATGTGGTCTGGAAATGAAGGGCTTTCCATTTTCATGTGAAACCTTTGTGCGTGTGCCATACCAGATCCACCTCCACATCGCACCTGAATGAGATCGAGACGTCGTCACGCAGGTGCAATATGGGAAAGCCTCCATACTCTCAATTCTCAGCATTAGCCACTCCAGAACTGCATGGAAAACTCAAGAACAGAGGGGGAAAAAAATGTCTAATCTGGGGTCTCCGACATAAACCTCCCCTCTTTGAGAAACAAAGAGAAGGAAAAATCCATCTTAAAAGATGCCTTTGTTGCAGTAACATTCACAGATCGCCACCACATTCCAGAGGGAGAAGAAAAGCCTCAAACACGGACAAGAGCGAGGAAGAGGGGGGTTGGAGAGACGAGATGAATATACGGGAAAGGGGGCCGCGTTCTCCATCGGAACGGGGGTATTTCACTGAAGCACAGTAACCACAGGCCATCTGCAATTTAAACATGGGGCACACACACACACAGCAGCTCCTGCTCAAATTTACACAGCCTTTACGCACATCACACAGAAAAAAAACGAAGTCTATTCATCAGCATAAAACTATCTGATGCTTTTTCCGAGATTATGCAGGAGGAATGGTAGATTTGGTGGGTTTCAAAAGCGAACAAAGAATGCAAGACAAGCACGCATTTTTCCAGCTCGACTGGAGTCGTTTGAAAAATGCCACATGAGAGACTCCAGTCCTTGGTTTTCTGGCTTCGCCACATGTTGAGAAAGTGCCCTGGGCTCCACCCTCCGAGCGTGTATCCTGTAATTCACCCGGCTGGAGTGCCAACGGCTTTACAGGCCTCTTAGTGAAGGGCACTGTGAAGTGGCTTTTGTATGATCGGTGTTGGGTGCTGTTGAGGGTTTCTGGGTGGGGTTGAGGGTGGAGGATGTCTTGAGCAGAGTCGAGAGAGGTCAATGCTCATAATAGCGTGGGCCGAGGTGTGCGTACTCACCTCACTCCTATGAGAAGAGCGATGAGCATGGAGCAGATAGGGTCTGCGATCATCAGGTCGTATTTCTGCATTAGGATGGCTGATATGATGACTCCGACACTGCCCAATGTGTCCGCAACAATGTGAAGAAAAACTCCTGCAATGAAGAAAATTTTGGATGAAAGCATCTGCTAAACAAAATGTGAATGTTAGTTGTTCCAAAACCTAAACATTTTTTAAATGCGTCTTTAATAAGTCTCTTATGCTCACCGGGGCTGCATTTATTTGATTTAAAAATACAGTAAAAAAACTGCAATAATGTGAAATATTATTACAATTTACAATAACTGTTTCCTAATTCAGTACATTTTGAAATGTAATTTATTCCTGTGATGCAACGCTTCATTACTCCAGTCTTCAGTCACATGATCCTTTAGAAATCATTCTAATATGATGATTTTGAGCACAAGAAACATTTCTGATAATTATGATGATCAATGTTGATCATCTGCTTTATTCTTGTGGGAAAAAACATCAGCAATCTTCAAAAGTTCAACAGAACCGCATCTTTTTTAGCATTATAAATGTATTTACTGACACTTTTGATGAATTTAATGCATCCTTGTTGAACAAAGGTGAATTGTTCTACATATTTACATTTATATTGACTACAGATGCAAAGATATGAACATTTTAGCCGATACCAATAACTAATAATTCTTTATATTTCAAAGCCAATAAGAGATATATATATTGGCTGATAAATCAAAATCTAAATCCAAATTTTCTTATCGAGCCGATAACGCTACCATTAAAAATTTAAATATGGCCGATACCGATATGGTGGTCAATATATTGTGCATCCTTAATACTGACCTCAATCTTTTGAAAGGTAATGTTTATGTATATAAATATACACAAAAATATTCAAAATATATTTTACAATAGCTCAAAATAGTATTAATATATGTAATAATAACTAAATCTTTAATATGTATAACAAATTATATAACAAATTATATAAAAATAAGTGCAGTGCATTGAAAACCCCAGCACTAGGGCTTTTGTCTACATGAAAGGTCCTAGTTTTCACTTATAAATCACTAATATTGAGTAAATATGGAGTCTGAGATGAGGATACAACATTTTCTAGGACCCACAGTCATAACTTGCTGTCTGGGATGCCATGTCTAGTGGTAACCCTCAAATTGATACTGTCATTTCACAAACAGGTAATCGAGAACATCCTAGAATGGATAGCTAACCTGCAAGACTGTCCTCCCCGACAAAATCTCCAGAATATATCAAAACAAACAATCCTACGCTAAAACCTTGAAGTGAGTTAGTCAACATTTCCTAAACTCAATGGTCTGTACTGGCTGTCCTGTCGTGACACTGGAGAATAGTTGTGGACTGTGGTGTGATGGCACGCAATGAGACAGTCCACTAAGTCCTTTCCTTTCCCCAGAATCAGATGACATACTTGCGGTTACTCAGTTTTGCAGAAAGCATGACCGCAGTATTGGAGCAAACTCCCTAATAAGTGAAGACCCCTGTCCAAATGTGGTCAAAGCAAATACTAGAAAAATAACAAGAATGCTGGAGCTCGCCGCGTCCTTATAAACAGGCTGTGTTTGGAATAGTATATACTGCCAACAATTAAGACAATACAATACTAAAGGGAACAGTATACAACTGAAAAAGAAAATTGCCTTAAAGTATTTGTTTTGGTTATAATATTCAATACAATACTATTATTAAGCAATTAAAACCGGATCACTCATCTGTGTGTGTTTACCTTTAAGACCGGATCGCGCATCTGTGCGTAGTCATTATTAAGCCTGGCAAACGTGTCTGCATCCTTTCGAGCGGCGTCGGCTTTTTATTACATGTTTTTTATCTAAGAAATTAAGATTTTAGTAGGCTTTGACAAATTTTGAAAAATATTTCTGAAAACCCTTTTGAGAGGGTGTTTACAGAAAAGTACTTGGGCATAAAAAGGCCTTTTTTAGCAGGCCTAAATTGGTTAATTAAAACTAATTAAAAAAATAAAACACTTGATAAAATATATCACTATTTTTAATATTATAAATATATTAACATCCTTAATATTTTTGTAAAATAATACTAATACCATTTTAATTTAGTAATAACAATACTAATAAAGGAATTAAAATAATGTCAAATTACTTTTTTATTATTTTTTTTTAATTATTATCATTATTATTATTATTAATGAAAATATTTATCTTTAGTAAAATAACGTCAATAACATTTTCATCTCATAATGATACTAACACTAATACTACTAATAATAATTTATAGATTTAAATATATTCCATTATATTTTCCCCAAATAACATTATTTTGGGAAATTAATTATATTTATATAACCAGTATTTAAAAAAAAAAAAAGTTACAATATTGAAATACAATATAATAATGATGCTAATTGTGTGAAAATGTCAACCATTGGCATTGCATTTTGGGGAACAGTAGTCTGTGCAATGCATTATATGGCATACTACATTTTGCAAATACAGTACATCCAAGTATTCTATGCATACTAAGCTCTGGGTAAAAAGCAAGAGTAGTACACTCCAAACATAATCAAAATAGACATGACGAGCTTCAGGATGGAAGGTTGGGACAATCTACTTGCAATTCATCACAGTGAGTGAGAAGAGGATCCTCGGCTGGGATGGAGGCAGCGTAACCTTTTGCACTGTCACCTCCTCCCCTCCCCCTTCTCCTTCTCTACATGGTCCTCCCTTCAGTGCCCCGTTCTTTCTCCCTCGAGCAGGCCTCCCAAAGGATCCATTCTCTCTCTGTGTGTGCCAGGGTGAAGGGGACAAACTACTTTCTCTGCTCTGCTCTTTCCCACACAAGCTCGGACAAAGGGATTTAAAGCGACAGTGTACAGCACTTGCTCAGTGTAAACCAGGTTCAGAGGTCAGAGGTGTCACATGGTCAAAGATGTCACACATCATCCAGTCACATCAGATGTAGACCACTCATTTCAAGTGTTTTGCTTGTTTAAATGAAGGTGGATCATTTTCAGAATTGCTACGACTACAGAACCTCATCTACAAAGAACTCAAAATTTTGACCGCCTATGAAAGAGGAAAAAGCTGTCTAGACCAGATTTATGTGGTTGTAAATATTTTCATATCTGGTACCTTGCTATAAAGCATGCTGATTATCGTTAAACAAGAGTTCTCTAGCGCCATCTGGAGGTGGCTAAACATAAATAAGAAAACATACCTTGTAATATCTGCTTGCTGGCGCCTTTCCCCGGTGTGTGTGATTGGTCATCTGAGGACACAGACAAGACAGATTTCAGACACCATCACGATGTATGGATGAGGACACCAAATAACATATCTGATGCATTATATGAGAGTGAGATAACTTGAGGGTCATACCGTGGCAGTGGGGGTCGTCATGCGAATGGCCATGTCCTCCATGTGAATGCCCATGATCATGTCCATGTTTGGACTCATGACTGTGGCCGTGGTCTCCATGACTGTGTCCATGTCCCACATTCCCATTGAACAGAGAATGACTGTGGCCATGACCTTAATTTTAAACAAGAGACATCTATGATGAAGCACGTGTGTGAACGACTCGGACCGGTTTCACCTAATAGTTACAAGATGCTTACCTCCACCATCGTGTGAATGTCCATGTCCCCCATGCTGAAAAACGAATATCCCTACAAGATTCACCAACAGCCCTGCTATAGACACCGGGAGCAAGCGGTCATGGTGCACATCAGGGGGTTCCAGCGCCCTCTGGTGAGAAGACGAGATGGCATCATTCATAGATAGATTTTAGTGGATCAGTGTCAAGTGAATTAACTATAATCTTATAATCGTACGTACCTCTACTCCTTCTGAGAAGATAAAGAAGGCGGTAAAGATGAGGAAAAGGCCGTTCACGAAGCCCGCGAGAACTTCTGCTCTGACATACCTACAAAAATAATCAAATGCGCTTGTAAGAAAGAACAGTGATGCAACCAAAGACAGGCGTTTCCTGTCAACACCACGCAAGCAGAAGTGAATATATCCTTAATAGGAAACTTGTGTCATTGGTACTCTAGCACAAATGTGGTCTCTCACCCGTATGAGAAGGAGTCGTTGGACCTCCACCGTGAGATGACTGATGCTGCAAGGCCTGCCAGGAGAGCCGTGCAGTCAAAGAACATGTGAAAGGAATCGGATATCAAACCTAAACTGAGAATCAAAGCAACACAAAAAGGGGAGTGTTTAATAATCATGAAACCTGAGAACTGCGTCCCACCCCATACTAAGGCCTTTTGTTAGACATTATTCACTCTTTCATTTAAAGACAAAGATGTTCATACTGAAAGAGATTTGGGTTTCAAGTGTTGTTGGTTGCAAGTGGGTCAAACAGTGCAATGAAATAGATAAATTCAGAGAATAAAAAATAACATATTTATACTCTTATTAATGTTTATATTTGTTTTTAAATGTACACATACAATGAAATAGTTCATTATAATAATAATAATAATTCAGTTTCTCATTCTCAAATGACGGAATGAGAAAAAAATGAAAAAAAAAATTATTATGAATATAATTATTAAAATAATTCAAGGTTTGCTGCAAGCACTTCCATTTGCATATTATTTCCAAATGGCAGACAGTGTATTAAATAAATTATAATCAGTAATAATTTATACATAACACTATTAATTTAATGTAAAAAAACATAATTATTGTTATTATTGACAGAATAATAAATAATTATAATAATGCCTTCACTATCTGCACTTCCATTTGTAGGAGTTGTGTCATTAATTTGCATAATACTATCAGTGTGTTAGATAAATGGTTATATTAAACAACAATGATAAAATGTAAACAAAGAAATGATGATTAAAAAAATAATAATTATTAACATTTGCATAATATTATCAGTGTATAAATAAATTATTATAATTAACAATAATAATATACATAATTATTGTTTTATATTATAATTATAATAATATTTTTTTATTATTATTATGAATATAGTAATGATAATAAGTTATTATTACAATAATAACATGTTATATATTATAATTATACATTTTTGTTATTATTATTCATCAAGTAATAATAATAACAAATAAAGCTTCACTTTCTGTACTCCCATTCGTGGGATGGTGTAATTTGCGTAATATTATCAGTGTATTAAAAATTCTTATATTATACAACAACAAAATAATAAAACAAATAAAAAAAAATATTTCAAATAAAACTGAAAATAAAAAGAAATTCTGTGAAATTCATTATTGCAAATTGCTGTTAGTGTGCACAATTTACTAATAAATATCATATATAAGTCTAAACCAACAATGTTGCAACCTCAATAAAAGTATGTATAGCATACAAAATCAAATGGTTAATGCCACTTCCCCCATATTGGTATATTTGGAATATTTCAGCTGTTTGTCAAAACCAAGCCAGATCTGCTTCACTAAAAAACATTTTTTAGGAATTAAAAGCATTTTTAAACATTCAAACGTACCTATGCTGTCTATATAAAACACCTTAATGGGTCTTGAGCCACATCCAGTTTTGATAAGCCATCAATCTCACTTCAAAGATGACTATGACATCAGATCATGGGAGAAACCCCATTCAAAACATCCCTAACAGACGTAAGGGCCCAAAACAAAAGCACACTAGCTCATCCCACATTAGACATACGTGGCATATCCTTGTGTTTGGCTCCCTACTGTTGACGTTACCTGTTACTCCATATGCCGTAGCTCAGCTCCACGAACGCGAAGGACAGGTTCAAACACAGGAAGAAAAACAGATTGCGAGAGGTTTTATCGGCAAGAATTGATCTGGGGAGAAACACAAATACAAAAATAGAGAGGGAGGTTTCAGACTGATTCATTGAAAAAAGTGGACTTACCAGACAGACTGGCTGCAAACCCACAGCTAACAAATACACGACTGAAGTTTATAAAAATTAAATGCTCTGGGAAAATGACATAGGGTCCAAATACACTCTTTATAGACATGTTTTGTTGTGGAATATATCTTGACAAATTTAATAACGTAGCAAATTGACAGGAACTATAACGCTAACGTTACATACTTCGCTTTGCTAACATCTGTCTGGCTGAACGATATCCTGAAGCTGTCTGCTTCCTTGTCATAACAGTTAAATGAACTTTTCAAGGATGTATTTATTCACTCTATATATTTTGTGAAGGAATTAGTCTAAATACTGTTTTATAGACACATTTTAATACAGTTTCGCGAGCTAACTAGCATGCTAACTGCATTAGCCATACAAAACCGACAGCTGAAACTCAATGAATTATTATACATTTAAGCGTCGTTAAGTTACCTGAACCAGCCCGATAACTTGACGAACAAGTTGAATTTGGCAGGCTTGTACTCGTCATCTTTGATGGATAACGGGAGCATGTTTCAGCGAAGCGTCTCCGGTTAGCCGTTGAGCAGCACTGCGGCTTCACGAGCGTCTGGACGCAAGGCAGCGGAAAGTCATTGCGCCGACGTCGCGTGCGTCATGTCACTGACCCGGTCTAACTTGTATTGAACAAACCCCGCAGATTTTCTTTAATAGATGTACAGACTCAGTGCAATGTTTATCTCGTGTAATATGTTTCATTCATTCATTCATTCATCTTTTAAATAATAAATCCATTTATATATCCATGTTAGAATGTTTCATTTTATTAATTTTATAATAATTTTATTATTATTTTTGTATTGATATTATGAATAGAAAATAAATTCATATTTTATAAGAATTATTATATAGTTAAGGTTGCATACTGTAAATGTAGCCCATGTTAATTGAGATGGTTTTTTTTCTTGATATTGTGAAACAGTGAAAGACTTCTGTCAACAAAACTGTCAATATATACATTTTAAGTTCATTGAAATGGAAAAATTGAGTTCATACAATGAAGGGGATTAACCACCAGAAACATTTATGATATTTATCAAAATTTTATGTCATCTGAACTACATAAATGATCTAAGTTGATTTGTTTGATTTGTTTGAAATATTTTGAATCATTAAAATATTTTTTTACAGATTTTTTTTTTACAAATATTATATATATATATATATATATATATATATATATATATATATAATTATATATTAAATATATATATATAACTGTATATATACAAAACGTTTTCCAAGTAAAAGGCTTCTTCTCTGTGTGAATGTATTGATCAGAGATAATATTCAAAAAGACAGAACGGAATATTAATTTATGAAATTGCTTTGATTAGGCTACGTATGTTAGAACATAGCTCAGCTGGAGTGTTTCTGTATTTTTAGTATCGATAATACTGTACGTTTTTACAGCTTAGAACCACCAGGTGTCACTCTTTTATCATAAAGTTAGGCACACGATTTTAGTAGAAACTTTGGTCAAAGATCTTTTCTTTTCCCCCCCAAAACTTTATTGAACAATATAAACAGACAACAGACATCAATCTTAAGCAGACAGAAAACAAGTAACATAAGATAAAGAAAATATAAATGATTAAATAAAAAATACATTCAAGTAAATAATAAATAAAGAGAGAAATACGGGGGTTCTCATCAAGTTTAAGATCCTCTATCAAAGTAGGCCTACGTAAGATTAAGGTACTATTTTTCTTCATTAATTTTAAAGATAAGAATGGCACAGTTCCTTGTGAAAAAGGTAAAAGTTTGGAAGTGTTTTTAGGAATCTATTCTTGTGTAAAAAGATTTCCCCAAGAATAATAAATGTGTTAACTGTCAAGTGATGTTTCATCTTCCATAAACATACCGAATATTATACATTTTACTTTGTTAATACAGGCAAATCTTCGAATTTAGGTTCAGTTAAAATGAAAACTGATAAAGAAAATTAAAGATCTATCATTATTGTTTTTACAAACACAACAGTAATGTAAAAAAGTGAGTTTTATAATCTCAAAATAAAATTAAAATCTGTTTTGATGGTCTCTAAACTTTAATCTCAGAGTATTCAAATATTAGCCTACATGACGTAAAATAAAACAATTAGCTAAGTATTCAAGTAGGCTACGATAAAGAACTCAAAGGTGATAAATAGCTAGTAAAGCCTAAGTTTAACACCTAAAGATGAACAGAAACTAAATTCTAAACTGCACAAGACCTGCATTTCAAATACTCCAAAAACAACACTTCAATGCTCCCTCAATACTAGAGGAAAAAAGGGTGTTCCCATGGTAACTGCTTCAGCAGACAGGACTGGGAACTCAAGCAGCCTGTTGCCTGTGAGCCAGACGTGCACAATGTGCTTTCCCTGATTTACACAAATGTGAACTGACACTTGTATTATATAACGCTGATCATAAGCAAATCTCAATCATTGACTTGTTGGGGTAGCCGCTCAGTAATTCCAGAGCAACTGAAATTAAAGATCATTTTTCAGTCCGAAGCAGTTTTGATTGATTCACACAATGATCCTTGTGTTGAATTCTACGACATGCATGAGCATCTTAAAGGGCATGGGAGAGGCTTAAGCAAATGTATTCCCACACATCTCATTAATATGCATGAGAAGAACGAGGCTTTTGTTGGTGTCCAACTTGGTGTTTTCTAAAAATAGACAGAACACCACAGATCGCTGTTCAACCAATGGTTAATATGAGGAACACTTGTGCAACTTTTCCTAAAATGGACATCAGTGTCCAAAAACATCATGACATGGGAGTTTTCCGGTTTTGAATTCTCAATTTCTTGTGGAATATGAAACTGCTTACGGTGCATGAGTGCCCACTACTGGCGGTTAGGTAACCCTTAAACGCATACCTCGGGTCTTTATCGACCCGGGACGTCGTTCAATAGTCTCCTCATTATACATTTTTTTAAAGTTAACCATCAACCTTCTTAATATTCCTCAATCTATTGAGTCAAAAACCAATAAGTGCAATTCATCTTTATTCCTCAATATGGCAATCTTTGACACGCAATGATGAAGTGACGTTTCACTCATAGTTACTGCAGACAGAAAACAAAAGAATAGGAAGTATCATCAGCAAAACTTGAAATGGCTCATCGATTTCCTGCAGAGCAAGTACTGAACGCAATCGGATATTAATTCGTGTCACTGTCAACTGATTGTGGATCTGCTGAAGAAGCTGTCAGAGAGCAAAATATTGATTTTGAAGACGTTATAAATGAGTTTTGAGAATATGTTTGCGGCAGTTAGAGATCCATCCGTGATATAGATGTCTTTATGGCAACCTGTCAAAATAAAAGTTCTTTATAACTTGAAGAAATTATAACAGAAATATATTACTATTGCACAGTAGAGTATACTTCAATTAGGCCTAATAATAATAATAATAATAGTTATTAAACACATAGAAACTCAAATGTCTACAACCCAACAAAATAAAAGTTCGGTCTAACTCAAAGAAATTATGAAAGAAATTTCACAGTTACATACTCACTACACAAGACTACATCACTAGACACTAGGCAGGTTTTTTGTGTTCATTTCTATGTCCTATCAATGTGCAGGCTCTTTTATATGACAGTGTAAACAGTCCAATAACCCTCCCTTTTATTTAAAGGCTTAATTTATGTCCCGTAGACCAGTCCGTTGTGTGTTCATGCTGTTTTTGAGTGTTGTTTTGCAATTAAAAAATTCTTGACACCTCTTTTTTTATCCCCCATGTCTACCTTTAGGGGCTCTGCTTATTAAATTCTTGGTTCTGGCCTTGAGGAAAGCTTCTATAAAGACATAACATGAGGACTTTGTAGTCAGACCAAGTTTCACCACCAAAATTGAGTGAGTCGAGGGATCACGATCTCATCTTACAACTGCTTATTTCCATAAGAGAATGAAAGCAAGCTAAGAACATAAACAAAAATTTAGGCCAGATGTGTGTCGGGCTAAATGTAACCATTGTTGTGAAGAGAGACGCAGTGTTTTTCGCAGTGTTCATAGTTTGGACTGAAGAGTCTCTCTGTAAGATACAGCGTGTGATTTTATACACGAGAGGCCTCAGTTTGGCTACATTAACTGTAAATTAAACAAGAGGAAGGTACAAATGTTTGTTCTGGCCGGTTTGTATCTGATAAAAAAGAGCGAAAGAGAGAGTCTGTTGGCTGCTAACACTTGGTCCCATCTTAAAGGGACAGTTCAACTAAACAGGCTCTTTTGCATGTAGCAACATTTAACCATTCTTAAGTGTTATGTGAAAGTATTTAAACCGGAGTATTATTATTATTTTTTTTTTTTTAACCAAAAATCCACAATTTCTATTATTTTCATATATGATATTCTGGTCCCTGTGGATCTTTCAATGTAAATCAATGAGATTTTTTCAGCCTGTGGTTTTTTTAATGTGGTTTACAAGAGGTAGGTTCTATCAGGCTGTGATTACAAGAGGTAAAAATGATATAAATACTGTTTTAATATAAATACTGATGTAACAAACCGCTTGTTTCGTGTCTTAGGCCATCAATGTGTACTTACATTTACGAGTCATTAAATCATGTTTAATTTGGACTTCTCTGTGCATGTTCTTTGAGGTGGACCCCATAGACCTCCATTATATGACTGACAGACACAAACGTTTGACCTAAAAATATAAAAATTGAAAATACTGTGGAAACAAAGACACCAACATCTTGGATGCCCTTGAGGTAAGCTAAAACATATCAAAAATTAATTTCAAAGTGAACTATCCCTTTAAGACATGAAGAATTTTTTTCCAAGTCAAAAATGTTTAAATATCTCATTTTTGGTAATCAATAGAGTTTTAGGGATAGAATTATTGAAACAAATAATGGTTCATCTTAATCTTTAAAGAGTCTTTGAAACCCTTTTCCTGACTAGCAGCTCTTGAGGTCATAGCATCGCAGTAGCTGAATATCTCAAGCACAGTTTGTACTCTGGTTGAGAGAGATTGTGCTGAGGTTAACAACTCAAGCGTCATGCCAAATACGTCTTAAAAAAATCCCTATCTTCAAGTTGTACGCCGTATCCAGAGGAAGGTCACGCAGCCGTATTGTGGGTCAAACTATATTCCGGAATACATGTTGATGCAAACCTCTGCTTCCTGGAATAACATGAGGCTCATGCCTTAATATAGGTTATGTCACAAATGGATCATGCATCATATCCCCATGAATTTTGGGGGATGCAACCAATGCCAACGAAAAGATTTACATTTGAAGTTTTCTTTGTGTTAAGGAGGTAAACGTGCACAAGTTTCAATATGGGTCCAACCCAGAGGGGGCAGTGGAAATTCAAGGTCATTTTGAATTAAAAATAGACCACTCCTGTAAATATGTAGGCATGCATGCTTATCTATATAGGTTAGGTTGATGTGTGCATGAGTCGGCTATACATCGCTTGTACTATATTGGGGTTTGTATTATTGAAGCAAGAATCATGTTATTAAAGGTTATAGATTAAAATAGTGCTGTCAAATGATTAATCGCGATTAATCGCATCCAAAATAAAAGTTTGTGTTTATATAATATATGTGGGTGCACTGTGTAT